GGGACGGTGGCCCGGGTGAGAGCAGAGTGGCGAGGACAGGACAGATAGTGTCCGGCTGTGGTGTTTTTCACAGAGACACGGTCCGCACGCCATGGCCGGCGAGGGGTAGAGGGCGGCCCCTCTCTGCGGGGTCCCAGGGCCCTTGGCAGGTCCTGCCTGAGGATGAGGACCCAGCTTGACTCGGTTTCCTCCAGTGATGGTTGCGGCCCTCAGAGTGCAAGGAGCACTCAGTTCCCCAGGGAGAAGAATTGGCGGACAGAGACAGTCTGGAAAGAGAGGCTGCCCGCCGACGCCGCCCCCCATCCTTCTCCAAGGCCTGTCATTCCTCCCTCCTGTGGCTCCTGTGTCCAGAACGTGCTTGGGTGTGTGGGAGCGGACTGATTCTCTCCACGTTATAGAGAGATTCTCTTCCTTTTCACGGTGGAAACGTGTGCATTTGCGTGAAAACAGGCCTTCCAATCCCTGGAGGGACATGACGTTTCCCCCAGCCCCGAAAGGACGCATCTCTTGGGACGCCTGGCCACGGAGCCATGGAACAGACCAGGGAGAGGCTTCACAGTTTGGGGGGAAGGAGGAGCGTGGATTCCTTTAGAAGTGACAGCGCCTCTCTTGGGAAAAACACCTGCACACGCTGGGCGTGTGCACAGCTTCAGGGTTCAAAGGTCCCCAGAACGTCACCCACCCACCCCAGCCGCCGGCCGGGCCTCGCGCTCTGGTCCTTTACAGCAGGCAGACCCGGGTGAGAATCTTGGTTTAGCCACTGAGTAGCTGGACGCACCTGGGCAAGTTGCGAGAATGCCCTGGGCCTTGGTTTCCCCTTTGAACATGGAAACGCCGACACTTCCCAGGGGCCGGGTGGGGGGAGAAGGTGTGAGTGAGTGCGAGCGGGGGCGGGGTCTTGCACGCAGCGTGTGAGCCACGTTGCAGTCATGACGGACGTCGTCACTCTCGGGCCGGGTTTCGCGGACACGGAGGACAGCACGGCCGGGAGGCCGCCCGGGGCGCGCGAGACCCTGCCTCCCTCCTCCCACCACGCCCACCTGCCCGCCCACCTGCTGAAAGCAAAGAAGCTGCGCAGAGACATTCTTACCCCGAAAGCGTCCTCCAGGAAACCTCTGTCGCTGGAAGCGAAGACCGCGGGGCTGATGCCTAGGGCGCTGAACTCCATGGTGGCCGTGAGGGCCGACGACTGACTGGCCGTCTGGCCGTGGCTGAAGAACACCGCGACCCTCCTCACGTTGGGGCCCGCCAGCGAGCGCTTGAACACGTGGCGGGCCACGAAGCGCATGGCGCCCCCCAGGTCCCGGGGCCCGGCGGCGTGGCCGTGCTCCATCTGGGCGAGGTGCTGCAGGAGTTGCCTCTTCCTGCGGTGGTCGGACCAGCGGAGGAGGTAGCGGGTGGCCGAGCCGTAGGCCACCACCGCCACCCTGGCGCCCACCGGGCAGCTGTCCTCACGGACGGCCAGGTCACGGACTATGGACGTGACGAGGTCCCGCGTTCTGTTAAACCTCTGCTCCGTGACGTCGGAGGAGTCGTCCAGGGCAAACACCAGCTCTGTGGGATACACCGGGCACGTGTCTGCAAAGGAGAAGCGGAGGGACTGAGACATGTCCCGGGACCAAAAGCCCCTCCCACACCCTTTCCTCCCGTGAAGTGGGCGGAGGCCACGTAAGCACTGCGCCCGGTCAGAACAGGGCACCACGCAGAGAGGGGAGCCGCCCGCTGGCACTCCGAAGCCATCATGTAGATGTGGAGCGTGAGGACCCGGCCCCGAGGCACTCCGACCCATAGCCCACTGTGTCCACCATCCACAGTGCAGGGCTCTTGGCAGGCGAAGCAGCTGTGCCCTGACCTGGGCAGTGTCTACACATCCACACCGGTGGGGAAACAGCACACATGCCAAGGTGAGCCTCACGGCATGCCTGCCAGTTTAAGAGGAATGGACGTTCTCCCCCCAGATCTCCAGAAATGAGCGGTCCGTGACAAAGACAGTTGGAGTATCTCATGCACTCGTGCCACAAACTGTGACTGAGCACCCGTCCCACGAGGTGCGGCGTGGCACCACAGTGCCATGTCAGGCCTGACAATTAAGTTCTCAACCTTGCCACCGTGCGCTCAGGTTGGCAGCACTGTACAAACACCTCAGTAAAGTCTCACAGGCTTGTATGCCAGGGTCTCACAGCTGAGTTTGCGGCGACATGTGGCAGCGTCTTGCTGGGTGGCGTTTGTGATGGCTGTCACATGTTTTTGTGTGCTGTCGCGAGAATGTCAGAGTTCAAGTGAGAGCAAAGACCAAACATCCCGTGCCCAAGCAAGGAACCAGGGTCCAGGGGTCAGCTGCACACAGAGCGACAGAGACCCGTCTGAGAGCCCGGGCACAGAACGCCCTGCGGCACAGGGCCTGCTCGGGGGATAGCCTGAGCTGTAAACTGAGGCAGGGCCCAGGAGGGGCCGTGTGTGGAGGGGCTCAAGCGACAGTCGCCACCAAAAGACAGAGGACTGCACAGGAAGAGGTCCTTCCTCCCGCAGGCCGAGGGTTTCTTTCGCATGGTCTTGTCTTTCCTGAGATGGGGCGTGAGGGTGTGTGTCTGAGGCCGTCCAGCTGGTTGGTGCGGGTGGTTTGTGATCTCAGCTTTGGTCTCAGCTCGGCTTCTGTGGCATCCCAGCGGTTTGATGTGTTGAGTCTTTCCTTTCGTCTGTCTCAGATTTTTGAAAACGTCTTTCCTGATTTCATTGTTTACCCCCAAACCATTCAGGAGGAAGCCGTCTAGTTCCCACGTGTGTGTGTGTGGTCCTGAGTGAGGATGCTGCAATTGTGTTGGCAAGAAACAGTGCGGCAAGAACACTCACCTTTCCAGCAAGCTGGGGGAGGAGAGACAGAAGAGTGTATTACGTTTGGGGAGCACAGACGAAAAATAACCCAAACAGCAACATTTCAACAAAGCTTAAGACGCATTTGACTCAAACGGCAACTGAGGCTCTTCCGTCGGGAGCCGAGGGCAGAGGACGGAGGAGGAAGGCCTCGGAATTCTGTTAATTTTTGAACCCTACTGGCCTCCCCCGTGGGCCTCGGCCAGCCGATGTGAGCAGAATTTTGACTGAAACCGAAACACTGATCAGCCATCTTAGGCGCAAAATAGACGCGCCTCTGATCAAACGGCAGATGGCTGGACCTCAATCTGTTTGTGTCTCTTCCTACGGCCCCCCGAGAGTTGTTCAGCAGCCAGGGCTCAAATACAGGCCTCATTTTCTTCCCTGCTTAACACCTTGGGGGCCTCTACGGTCCTGGAGAACCAGGGGGATTTCCAAATGAGCTGTGTGTTTGGTAAAAAACGCAGCCTGTCTGAGCAAGCGCCACCTCCAGAGAGAGGGAGGAACAGCCAAGGGCTTCTCCCCAGCCTCTGCTCTCCCTAACTGATTTACTCAGACCCAAGCAGGGTCAGGCCGGGGTCGGTAAACGTCTAAGAAACCACAGGCCTGGCCATCTCCACGCTCATGCCACTCGATTCCTAGGAAGCTGGTGAGTCACGCCAACGTAATCAAAGCTGTTATTGTTGCTATTATTCTTATTATGAGACCAGGCTGGCGCACAGGCGCACGATCCTGGCTCACTACAGCCTTAACCTCCTGGGATCAGGCGATCCTCCTGCCTCAGCCACCTGAGTAGCTGGGACTGCAGGCGCACACCACCACACCCAGCTGAGTATTTGTTTCTTTTGTAGAGATGAGGTCTCGCTATGTTGTCCAGGCTGGTCGCAAACTCCTGGGCTCAAGAGGTCCCCCTGACTTGGCCTCCCAAAGTGCTGGGATTACAGGTGTGAGGCACCACGCCCGGCCACAGATCTTGTCAACCCTGGCAACATCAGGCTTGTCCTGGTATCCCCAGGTGTGCTCCCCTCCCAGCCACCCTATCCCTGCCTCCTGTGAGTGTTGACCACACCTGACCACCATCCCACGGCACACCCTCTGCCCGCGAGGCTCAGGACAGATCCCTTTCTTCTGCCCGAGAACTCTTTCAGGCTAACTTCAAGCCCTGCCGTGAGGCCACAGCCAGGCCAGGCTGGAGTTCAGCAGGGCCGGCTGACCGTGAGGGTCAGTGCTTGACCGCTGTTTGTGTGCTTCTTTCTGTTAACATTTATTTTCCTCAAAGTCTCCTTCCACGATGCTATCTGGGCCCTCCTTCTCATTCTCGACACGCTGCACCCTCCTGGGTCCCCTATTTTGGGCTCCGAGTTGGGTCCCAGCCTTCTGCTCAGGCCCTGGCCCTCGCCCCGTGTGGCAGGGGACGGCCGCTGGGCTGCAGGGTGAGCGACATCAGCCCAGGGGCCTTGGCGGTGTCCTCTACACAGGGCGGCTGCCAGACTAGTGCCAAAGGCCTGTCCACCCCCTCCTCTCAGGTCTGCACCGGGGTCCCAGCCACACCCCCTGACCCCCTCGAGACAGCCAGCTCTCCTCCTATTCCATGCTGGAAGGCCTCTCCCTTCACGGCCCAGCCCGCAAGGCCGGGGCTCCCCTCCACGCTTCCCCTCCCTCCATCTTCTCAGGAGGATACCGTTGGCTACTGAGGAGAGAGGCTACACCTGGGGGCATCCGGCGCCCACGCCCCTGTCCCACGAGGGCCTCCCTGTGTCTCTCCCTCTGGTCCAGCCCCAGGCTCGGCCTCCTCCCCGTACCCAGGGTCTGGCCCCTCCCAGGCAGCGTCGCCCACGGTCCTGGGCCTCTCCTCTAGCTGGCCACCCCCTTGCTGTGTGTGGCAGGCCAGGCCCCTGGCCGTGAGTGCCGTGATCTGGACTCGGCCCCCCGCCCACCCCGAGCTGCCTTCCTGGGTGCCTCCCCAGGGATTCCATTTCTGCCTCGGCCCACGTCCTCGGGACCCTGCTCCGCCACGTGCTCAGGCCCCGCAGGAGTGCCGTCACGCCTGGCCTCCTCCTGACCCTGCACCTTGCCCAGCGCCAGGCCACCAGCCAGCCGCTGGCCGCTTCACGGGGGTGGACCGCACGCCTCCGGCCCGGGAGGCGGCCTCGCCAGCCCCAGCACCTCCTCAGCCTCCCCGCCCTCGCCACACCCCTGCCGGGACTGCACTTCCATCCAGGCCCCGGGAGGCCCGATCCCCCTTTCATGTGTGTCGACTGTGACGTTGGAAAAGTCACGGCGGCCACGTGACGAAGGGAGGCGAGCCCCGAGGCAGCCACGTGACGGAGGGAGCCACGAGCCACGGCAGCCGCATGATGAGCACCACGTTTCCCGCCTTTGCGTCCAGCACTCCTTTCTGGGTTGACACATTACCCGCATGTAAGGAGATAAGAAGTGTAAGGCTGCCATTCACCCGTGGTTTTCGTGCCCAGGCTTCCGCAAGGGGCCTCCCCGAAAGCCCTGCCTGCCTTTCACTGGGTCAGACCACACACCGTGGCCTGACTCTTCCGTCTGTAACTCTGGGCGTGATCATTTTGCTCTAGGGAGTAACACTTGAACAACCACGTTTCTTCCCTCTTCGCTGCGTTTCCTTAGGGCCCATTTTCAGAAGTGAGGGCTCCCTTTCCCCTTCTTTCCGCCTCCTTCTCCCCGTCTCCACCAGCAAGGCCACCCCCACTCCACCGACGTCCCCGGGCGCCTTTGCTGAAACTGTTTTCCTGTCACGCGTCATCTCCTCCCCAGAACCAGATTCACTTCCCGCCACCCAAGCACCATCACGGACCGAGGCACTAGCCCCGCACCCTGTGGCCATCCCTCCAGCCCCACGCCCGCTCTCCTCTGGCCTCAACCGCTGCAACAGTGGGAGCCACTTCCCACTCCTGCGTCTTTTCCCGCTGTTCCCCACAGGCGCGTCTCCTCCCATCCTTGGCCGGCATCTTTCCCTCCTCCCCGTCCTCCCCCCTTGAATGTGAGCTGTTCTGCAGTAAGGACTCCAGGCCTGTGCACAGGCTCCTTGCCGGCGAGCTCCGCCTGCCGACCCCACATCCCCTGCCCCCTGGCCTGAGGGCCTCGCCCTCCACAGATGCTCCTCCCCCAGGGTAGATACTCACGGCTATGTCCACGCAGGAACTGGATCAGATCACACTGCTACAAATTGAAAGAGAGTGAGAGAAGAGAAACATGAGCACAGTGACCTCCTCGTGGCCTGTTTATTTCCCAGTGAGTCAACTGGGTTTTCTTCCATGAAAAAGGAGATACATACCAAATACGCCGGCTGCCCCGCCAGACCTTTAACACCCTAGGAAAACCAAAATGGGGTTAGTGAGGTGTGGACTGGAGTCTTTTCTTCTTAGAAGCACAGCTAGCCCATCCATCCATCCACCCACCCATCCATTCACACATTCATCCATCCACCCAGGACATGTCACCCCCATGTTAGAAATAAACGGGTAGACCTAGGGACTGGCCCCAGGGCCTGCAGCTAGTGAGAAGCAGAATCTGGGCTCGAACCCCATGTTTCTGTGCCCTTCCATGGAACATACCCCAAACAGCGCACTGGGTCCTACAGGTCTACTTACTCTTGGTCCAGGAGGGCCCGGGGGTCCCCGAGAACCCCTTTCACCTTTCAAACCTACAGAGAGCTGCAGATAGGAACACGTGTTACTCTCAACATCGTCTATCCACGGGTGCTACCTGGTGTTAATAAGACATATTTCTAAAAGACAGCAGCTATTGATTCAAGCCAGGTAGATTGCTAACTTATACCGTAAACTGCCCACTCTTTTTGTTTTTTTTTTTTGAGTTGGAGTCTCACTCTGTCGCCCAGACTGGAGTGCAG